CTGGCTGGGGAGTTCTGGGAGTTGAAGTCCACTCATCTTAAAGTGGCCAAGTGTGGACAACACTGGTCTAACCCAACCAGGAGGTAAAGTGAAGTTTTGGGTGTGAGAAGAAAGCAAAACAGTTCTTGTTTTGCTGGTTATTACTGTGTTTGATGGCCGGGGTGAGGCTTTCCTGCTGCAGGTGCCAAAGTAGTTTGACCGCTCCTAGGCACCTTCACTTGGAGGGGAGAAGGACGGCTGTGGCTTCCCTTAGTGGCCCCAAGCCACAGAACATCTCAGGGGCATTTCGTTTTACAGTCTTTACAGTCCTCTCTCCCCATTAGTTTCCCAGAAACAGGCTTTTCTTTGCATTTCCCTGCCATCACTGCTCTTCGGGCTTTCGTTGACCCTCCCCAGACACCGCGGGGCAGGTTTTCCTTTGCTTAACCATCCAACCCCAGTCATCCATCTACTCATTAACTTGGGGCTTCTGTGCAGGAAGTGCCGCTTCTGTGGTTTGTTGTAAAAGGTTGTAAAAAGGGCACTCGGCAAACCGATCCCTGGGCACAAAGGCCCTTCAAAGGTGGAGACGCCTCCGCTCGTGGTGTCTCCCGGGGTTTTGCTGGGTTTTCTTTCCTACTGGAACCGCCAGATCAGTCTGCTAGATCCTGGTGCAAAACAAAGATACTAAAGATACTAAAAATGAAAGCTTTGAGCCCACAAATTAAGTTTCAGGAATGGACAGAGCTCACAGGGCTTCTGCACAAACATTCCCTCTCGCTTACCTTGATTTTGGTTTCTCCCCCCCCCCCCCTCTGGTGGATAATTTGGGGCTGGGGCTTAGTACTGTAGGTAGTGTTCACAATATGAATGATTGGGCTCTCTAATAGGTCTGTCTTTGAACACAGCTTCCTTTCGTTTTGAAAGCCTGCAGAAGCCGAACGCATTACTCTCTGAAATGCACACTTCTCCAAAGTCTGCAGAGCAGTTCATCGATTTTTCAAAAAGTCTACACAAAGAGGCATGCATTCATGGAAGTAAGTATTAAAATACATTGCATGACGCCACATCCTTTGTGTGAAGACGTAAACGAAGCTGCAGGTCCCCCCGTCCAATGCCCGCTGGCCAGCCTCGGAGAGGAATTCTTCCTGCTCATCTCTCTGCCAGGAACAAAATTTGCCCTTGTTCAGCGACCCTTTGATTAATTAGATGAAAATGTGGAAAACACTTTGCAGATGAAAAACGCTGAGGCGCTAAGGGCTGTCGCTTCTCGGTGATGATCTCTGCAGCACCTCCAGTGCCAAGAAGAAGCAGAGACCTGAAGAACTTCATGACTGGGGTTGTCAGAAGATACCAACGAATGGAGGCCATCTACGGTTTGTTTGTTTATTTATTTATTTATTTAGTGCCCTTACATGGCACTTTTTTGGGGAGGTCCAGGAGGCATCCAAGGAGGCCTCTTCCTAATTTTATGCAACATCAGCAACCCCTTGAGGAACATCAGGCTGGGACAGCGTCACCAGAAAAGTTGACAAAATCTGAAAGATTGCCACAAAACCAAGGGAAGTACAAGACTCAGTCAACTTTGCTTTGGAGTCCAACCTCAGGACATAGCTTCTCTTCAAGAGAAGCTTTTATGTTCTGCTGGAAAAGGAAACGCAGAGCATTTGCGACAGGAGTAACAATTAAAGCTCCTCATTTAGACTTTTTAAAAACATTTCTGAAGAAATGGAGGCACTTTCCTGCTAGACAAGATTAAAAAGTCACTTGTTGAGAGGGGCAGCCGTATACGTTGAGTTAATACATAATAAAATAAATAATTTAAAAGAAGTTTTAACATTCTGGAGACCAGAAGGACATTTGCCTCTGAAGAAAGTTTAAAAACAGTTTCCTTTTTTTCAGAGAAAAATTCTTGCTCCAAAAGGGTTTTCAAGTTATCAGTTTCTTCTGTTATGAGTCTGAATGCCTGTCCTTTCTATTAGATTATATAGAGCAAAAATCAAATGAGTTCAGGCTTGCGTGGATGAGAATGTCAAATCCAATGAAGATTTCTTTTCAGGAGAAATAGTGTGATCTGGCCTTACTAGTATTCCTCTCCAAATATTCCTTCACTCAAAACGTTGCACAAAATTCTTTATTTAACGTATGCTCCACTTCGCAACAAAAATGCTATGGGATGTCACTATTTGGAATTTTTTTCATTTAAAAAAGATGGACATTGGGAAACTGCTTATGGAAAAACAGATATTTTTAGAAATGCAGAGTGCAAAAAAACCCACCACCATATCTTAAGTACAGATGTGTAGAAACATGTTCATATTAAGAATGTTACATACAATAATTAGCGGTGCATACTTTTTTATTATTAATCGTTTGCAGAAAATTTGACACAACAGACTAATTTTTCAATGCTTGTCATACTGATATGGCCTGGATTGAGACTGATTGACTTTCATGTCTCTAGTTGGAGCTACTCTTATTTACTAAATCCTCAGGATTCACCAGCTGGAAAAGATTGTGGGACGGCTGTATCCTGAGCCAAAGATTGTTTTTTCATGCAGGAGATCATTCCTGACAGAACAAGTTTTTCACAACTTCCTTTTCCCCCCTGATTTGTGAACCACTGGTAGTTAGAAATCCTTGTTGATCTGCTCCAAGAGGAGGAGATATTGTCCTGCATAACACTTCAAACGTGTTACGGTAGAAGCCTGTGGCAGGATAGGACTCACAGTCCCTGTCTTTCCACCCCCAAGCGAAAGTGATTTTGTTAGATCTGGGATAAGTAAAACCAACTTAATAACCTATAGACCCAGGGTTGGCTTCTGCTCAGCACTTCAGACTTCAGTCTATTCAGTGAAAAGAAAAAGAGGGGAAAATGAATTACTTCCCAATTTAACTGTGCATAAAATTGGATAGACAGAATGCTCAGCCCACCTCCTAGAGAAAAGATTTATTAATGGACTATGAAATCTCGCAGAAAAGACAACAAGAGAGAAAGCTGCTGGACAGAGTTGTATGAAATGATCATTCCCCGAAGCATGATTTATAGCGTAGAATGAAGACTTTTTTACTAGAATCAAATTCTCCACTGGGAAAATGGGGTATTGCTGAAAATGTGCTAGAGAATCAGGTCAGGTTGCCTCTTGTATGTCTGCTCACCTGGAAGGTGATAGAATGAAAAATCACACCCAGGGCTATACAGGTACAAATGATTAGAAAAACCCGCTGTTTCAGTGTCCTGTCTAAAGACAGCTAACCCTAAACTTCTCAATGCTCAGAGCAGGGAATAGGAGCACACAGCTTTTCCCATAGCTCAGGTATGTTTGTTGCCGAGAACTTGTAGGATGCAGTGAAGAGCGTAGAGGCTGAAGTTCAACAGCTCGGCCTTCCTGGGCCATGAAGTGTGCTTATACAGTCAGGAGTAGGTGTTTATGACATAGCCTTCAAAAAGCTCTGATGAGAAGAGTGAAGTTAGAATGACATAACCGTGACTGGCTTAGATTCATCAAGCCAAATCCATGCTCGTTCTGAAACCATTGAAGTAATCCAACAAGATAACCACGAGGGGCTTTGGATCATGCTTGGAAACCAATAAACTATTGTAATCCACGTTAGGTTCCAAAGTTCAGAGTAAAATGGATTCTTTTTCAGTCACTGTACTGGGTTTTGGGAAGCTCTTGCGCGTGAATGAATGGGTGGAATGGACTGTGTCCTCGGCCAGTGCATTAGCCAGCCTGGACAGGATGGTTACCTTAAACTTTTTGAAATCTTGGCCCATGAAGACATACAGGATGGGGTTCATGCAGCTGTTCGAAACAGCAATGGCAGTGACCAGGGGCAATCCGGTCTCCAACACGGTCTTTGGAACTGAGTGGTGCTGCGTTTCCAGGAGAGAGAAGGTATGATAGGGACACCAACACAAGAAGAAGGTGGTTATAATGGCAACAATAATTCTCAAGGGCTTCTTGGACTTGGCAAGACGGTTCTTTTTCAGCCGAAAAATTATGGTAATGTAACATACTGTGATAATGATCATTGGTACGATGAACCCCATCAAGAATCGAACTATGGTTACCATTCTATGTCTCCGAGGGCCAAGGGTGGTGTCATTTGTAGAGCTGGACAAGGAGAAGTTATGAAAACAAGTGATGCGGTTCTCTAAGGCTGCGGTGTCTCGAAAAACGAGGGAAGGGGAGCTCATTAAAAAACCAGTCGCCCAAATTAGGATGCAGAACAACCAGGCAATTGTAGGAGTCCGATGTTTTTGGGACTGGACTGGGAAAATCACCAAAATGCAACGATCAAAGCTGATGGTTGTCAACAAAAATACACTGGTGTACATGTTGAGGTTGAGAAGTAAAGAGGTGACTTTGCACATGTCTCTGCCAAAAACCCAGTGGTAGTTCATGGCCGTGTAAGCAATGTTCAAGGGCAGGAAGACATTAAACAGAAAGTCAGCTGCTGCCAAGTTGAGGAACCAGATACTGGTGACCGATTTTTTCATCCTGAGTATAATTGCAATGACCAAACTGTTGCCCAGTAGACCTAGGAAGCAGGTGACGCTGTAGATGAGAACAGCAAGGACTTGAACGATGGTCGGGAAGTCTTTGCTTGGTCTTCTGTTATATATTTCACTAACAGTGTTGTTAAAATCCAAATCATAATAGTCACTGTAGTCTGAAGAATTATCCAGCGCTTCCATGTCCTGTTGGAACACAGATTGGTCAAAAACCTGACATCGTGCCAAGGTAACCTACATAATGGCTAGGAAGCACGGAAGAGGGAAGATAGACAGGGCAAGCCAGGGAGAGCCAGCCCCGTCGAAGATTGCCTGGAGAGGCTGTGCAGCAGCCAGGCCAAAGGACCGTTGCTGCCAGTCAGAACTCATTGATATGGACGGAGAAGGGCATAGCCTAATTTCTACACTGAAGGGCAAGATTGCAACATCTTCTTCCTTGGACGACCCCCACCCAGTGACGCAGTTTCAAAAAAGTGAGGCCGATTTCAATGCACAGAAAGTAATAGTGAAACTTAATACAGCATTCTCCAAAAGGAAGTGACTAGGCTGCCTTGAAAATGCCCCAGAATCCTTTGCGGGAGAGACAACGCAGATAAGCTGGTGGTGGTGGAACATCTGCCAGAGACCCACGTGAGACCAAATTATATTAAAGCGCTAGCAGACTTCTTCTAGCTGACATTTAAAAAAGACAAAAATACTTTGGCAAGCTGAGCACAGTGGTGTAAATAATTTAATCCATAATAAATAGGAGGCTAACATTTTTTTCCAACCTTTCCTGAAAGAAAGGCACTGGTGAGCTTTGAAATTTTAATGGCCGTAACTAATGGCATCGCTTGCAATACTCAGAACTGTCGTCAAAGACAATATGGATGGGAACACAAAACTTAGATGGGTTAGGATCTGACCCCCTCCTAAGAACGCAACCCCGAAACACCCACATTTACTATTAGCATCGCACTTCTCCTTGGGGATCCTGCTGGACGGAGCCTGATGGGGAACGCTAAGCTGGAGCTGGCGATTCTTGAAAGGCAAGCAAGGGATTTCTAGGCAAGCAAAAACGTTCCAGTGGAAGCGTTTACATTTCATGGCCAGGTTTTACGTGTGGTGGCAAGGAAACGGATGGACAGTGGGTCTGTGCGAGGAAGTTGAGGCAAATCCATCTGGACAAGACCCTGACCTGAGTGTCTTCCCAAAGTTGTGGGTGAACTAGAATATGACTCCAGAGTTCCAGATCCAAGGTTCTTTGGTCGTCTGGACTATCATAGGACGAGGCCAAGATGCCAGGGCTCGCAAATCATTGCTCAGTTTGACCCTCCCAATCTGTCCTCCTCTCCCTGAACGTGGCTCCCGAGGACCACTTCTGCTGAAAGCCACCAGGGCGTGGCCAGGTACAATAAAGTCTGGATTCGTTTTGTTTCTCCAGTTCAGACGACCTCCCGAAGCCCAGAAAAGCAAGACATCTCTAACCTCACCAGCCAGACAAATGAACCAAGGAAACGCAGGGTTCAGACAGGTCCTTGACCTGAGCATGCTTACCGTCCGCAGGCGATGCTGGAAGAAAGAATCGGGAGAAAGCGAAGCCAGGGCCAGTTCAGCTGAGTCGGCCGTGCGGGAACTTTTCCTGCCGAGGGTACAAACCAAACATCAATAATGACCCCCCGCGAATGAAGAATACCCGCAGGCGAGGGGAAGCAATGTTCCTGTTTAATGAACCATTCCAGCCGCCTTCTTAACAGGCACAGGCTGGGTTTGCTGCGCGTGTGCCTTTTTATCGTTGGTCGCCCTCTGGAAAGAGGAAACTCCTTGGCGAACTTCGTGTTTGTTTTGTTTTCCCTCCGTCCTGGTGGGTGCTGCGGTTTGGGTGACTCTGAATCAGGCAGAAAGGGCTCTGCCGTCCTGGAATCGGCCCGGGGGTGCCGATCCATAAAGGATCGGAGCTCTCCCAAGGACAGAAGGGGATCCGGTCTTGGGGGTATCTGACAAAAGAAAGGTTCTGGACCGGGCAGAGCGAGGAGCCCTGCTCTTTCTAGGGACAACCATGACTTCTTTCCAGAAAGAACGGCCTTGTGGCTTTTCAGCCCCTCATTTTTTAGAAAATTTCCAAGAAGATCAGGGCAACACGTGGGGGCTGTCTAGGCATTTTCGATCCTGCAAGTATCCTGCTCTGGGGTAGTCAATATTTCCTTTCTTCCCCTGATGGATTTCTTCACCATTTACTAAATCCCAGTGTGTGAGCCACTTGAGAAGCAAAATTCCCAGGTGTGTCCATCTAATTCACTCTTTATTCCATCAGGGATCTTCCTTGTTCCTCAGCAATCCTAAATGGGCTGGCCTCAGAGAGATTCTGGGCCACGGCCCTTCTGGAACCTTTACGCGACAAGGAAATGTATTTTCCTCATTAAGAAACGCTCCAGGGAGACTTGTTAAAGAAGAACTCTGCCTATCCGGGGACTGTCAAAACGGACCATTCGGGAATGAAATGGATCCATCTGCTGAGCAATTCCAAACTGACTGGAGGTTGTGGCCCTGGTTCCAACATCTGAGACGCGACAAGAAATTTGTATCCTCAAGACCGAAGGACAGTAATTAAGGGCTACGGATAATACCGCTACACGAATGGGATTTCCTCCCCTTGGTGCCTACTGTGCCCACCAGCACGAGCTCCTGTCACATTGTGTATCCCTCCTGCTTAAACAGACCTTGTGGCTACTCTGAGGAGCAGAATGTGTGTGAAAGGAACTGTTCCGCCAAGAAGACGGTACGAGGCATGTATGAATGTGGTTTACTAGGTCAGATTCCATCTGGTCAATACGATGGGGCAATGGTATAAGGTAAACGAAAGCAGTGTCCTGACCACCCAATACTTTACGTGCCCTGGCTCGGTGGGACAGACCGTGTCCATGGAGTATCCCTTCAAGCTAAAAGCTAATGAACAGACCCTACTCTGCTCTTGAACTCAAAAGAGAATGGGCGACTCAGAACGAGGGATTTCTGAGGGCAGAGCAGAACTTCTCAGAAGGTATGCCAATGGAACGGGGCTGCCAAAAACGTCACCTGGGACCTTAGCATAAGTATCAGAGGTTACAGCATGCCTTTGTTGAGTTGGTGGGACTGACTTTTCACACTTTTGGGTGTTGGCCCATGAAGCACTGCAAGAGAGAGCCGTGGGATTAAGGATCCTGGCTCTCACCTCTGATGGAAACTTTCAGAGCTGTTCTTTCTATTCTAGCTTCCAGCTGCCTCTGGCATCTTAATTCTTTGCAAAGAGATCTCGCTAGCTGTGTCTGCAAAACAATGCATACAACTATCTCAGCACATTTTCTTCCCAACCCCAAACAGGATGTCCTGATTTAGAAGCCTGACTCAGCCCCTGACCACCAACAAGTCAGCCCCCAAACACATTCTTTTTTTTACAAAAGGCGCACCAACCCCACGTTCCCAGGCCATCTTCAAATATAGGGCTCTTAATTTGAGCAGGACTCCTTGGCATCCATAGAAGCCAGTCGAACAGGGCCAATCAAATCCAAAGTGGGATTTGTAAAGAAAAAACTTGTATTATCTGATGAAAGGGCTCAGGGTGTGTTCTTGTGACACCCCATTGGAGCTTTGCAGCCAAGCAATTTCTTGCCCAAGAAGGGCCCCCTTCTCTACATCCCTTCTCTTGAGGAACTGCACAAGCCAGACAATAAGATGTTAAAAGAACAGGCTGCATTTCCCCTGCCAGAGCTCTAAGGGAGAGGAGAGACAGTCAGATCCTAGATATAACTGAGATGTTCTGAGATGTTCAAAAATCCCCAAGCTTGTAGTGTGAAACAACCAACAGTTTAGGAGACTTGTTCGAGCTCCGAAGTTCCTAAATATGCTGCTAGAGTATTTTTGGTTCCTTCCTTCTGGTACAGTGTTTCTCAACCTCAGCAATTTTAAGATGTGTGGACTTCAACTCCCAGAATTCTCCAGCCAGCATGGAGTTGAAGTCCACGCATCTTAAAGTTGCTGAGGTTGAGAAACACCGTCCTGGTGCTTTCTAGCTTGCAAATCTAACTAGTGGCTCTTGCAGCTGTGCTCCAGTGCATCTTTGGGGAGGGGCCACAGATTTGGAGAAGACTGGTGGAGTCTCAAGTCTTAACATCCCATTCCCCCCAAGGCCCAAGAACCTCCACTTTGCTTCCTGCTTTTGTGAACAACTGCCTCCCCGCTTTCACCAGACTATCCCATGTGTCTTTCCATGCAACCTCAGCAGATATAAGTCCTCCTCTTCTACAAAGCAGTCATGTTTCTACAAAGGCCCCTCTTCATGAGGTCCTTGCAACTCAGTTTTCTGAGCACATGGTCCCGATAGCTCGGTCAATCCATCCCCTATAAACCTGAGTATTTCATGGGGTTCAGATGTTCTCTGCTTCCCACCTGGACTTCTGCAAGCCACCTCCTTTGAAGCAGCCAACCACAGAAGCTGGTGTCAACATGTTCCTCCTGCATCCATGACCCAGCCAGTCTTCCAGAGTAGGGGGGTGGGGGGGAGGCACAACATCAGGACCAGAAAGCAACAAGACAGATCCAGCACGTGAGCCAGTCTTTTTCTTGGAATTTGGCTAGAAGGCCAGCTGGGTGTGTGATTAATGGAAATCACAAGCAGATGTGGAAGAAACATTTGGCCAGATGTGTTACGCTTTGGTCATCTGTGCGGTCCTAACAGCCGTCCTAAAACACAGTGGCTGATGGGAGAGCGCCCTTCCCAAATGCAGAGACCATCACATTCCTTCCTGCAGCTGGATGTAACCACTGCCTGCTTCAACTTCCATCCATCTTTGGATGGTCTGCCGTTAGTGGCCAAACCCGAGGGAGGATGTCTCTCCGGCCCTTAGCTACGCCATCTTCCTTAATCAAAGGAAGCATGATCACACATAGCCCTGCATCTCCTGGCCCTCTCAGAAAAATTCAAGGCTGACCAGCATCAAAACTCACAGAACACAACAAACAGGCTGTTGTTGTCCTTCCGCTCCTTTTCTCAAGACAATGGGAGGGTCTGAAGAGCTACATTTGACATGCTGAGAGCTTGGCCACGCTGCAGAGGGACTTCTTTCCTTCTTAAGGCCAAAGAACCTCCCAGGGATCTCCACCCCTCTTCCTATGACGTGACCTAAGCAGAGTTCACGTTTTGGGGACGCTTTTTGGGGAAAAAACCAAGCCATTGGCCAAACCATTACTTTCTAGGCGGGAGATAAGGACGCCCGTAGAACTGCGTGCTGAGCTTCTGTGTGCTCAACACCAAGGCTGTCAGGTGTTTGGAAACAGCAGGAAGAAAAGGGAAACAGCAGAAATCTCAGGCTGTGAGCGAGGTCAAGGCGACCACAGAACAAAACCTGTCTGCCAAGTCTCCCCTTGCTTGGGATCTGGCTGCGAAAGAGTCCCCCCCTCCACCAAGACGGACTTGCCTTGGTTTAGCAATGCAGCCACCTGCTTACTCTGCTTCTGCGGCTTTCAGTCCAAAGCTGGCAGCCTCCTGATGAATTCTTGCCTGCGGTCCCCAGATGTGTGCATGTCCCCAAATGTGTCAGGACCAAGTTTTTAACAGGACTTGAACCTAGCCAAGCCTGAATGGGCAACTGTGATTAATATCTGTCCCTTGCGATGCAAACCACCAGGAGTGTCTGCACAGCAAGGTGAAAAAAGTCAGGATAACAGCCACAGGGGTGCAGTCCAAGGTCCATCCCTTTTCTACGTGCTTCCCAGAGCTTGGATCCTAGGCCAGCTTTGGTTCATCCAAGGAGGCCAGCTGATTTCAGCTTGCTCGCCCATCACAACATCTTGGTTGCATGAGAACTCAGCCATTTGTGCTGAGTTTGCAAAGGGTCTCTCCCTCTCCCCCTCCCAAGAGCAGAGCTGCAGCCCATTTTAAATCTTAGTGGCTCCAAGACCTTTGGAGGGAGGAAGGAGAGACAGAGACATTATCCTCACCCTTGGGCAAATGGCATCTCTTCTCTGGAGGTCTCTGCTCAGGGTTGGATTTTCTCTTGCTCTGCACTCCAACCTCCCCTCTACTCTAGCTTGCCACAGGAGACGATGATATCTTCTCTAATTCCCCAGACGCCCCACCACCCAGCAGCCTTCTTGAAACCAGCAGAGAGAGACACCCTGGAAGCCCCCCACTGTGAAGAGATAGAGGTGATCTTACTTGCTGGTGAGGCAATGGCCTTGTCAGAAGATGTTTTTGTTCCAATCGATCTTCAAGACCAACAACCTGGATGCTGATCTGCATAAATCAGAAAACAATGCAAGGAACAGAGGAAGCAACATGTAAAGTAAGGGGGTAAAAAGCAGGAAGAGAAGGTGGGGCAAGTGAGAAACAGATACTATTAGCTCACATCTAATCTTGCTAGTCCTTCTTGACTACCTGTATTGGTCATTTCTGGTGCAAAACCATCTCCTCCTATTGTCATCCCAGGAGAGTTGGACATCATCTCAAGCAAGGGGTGCCACTGATTTTGAGAAGGGGGCATTGTTTGTGGCCCTACAGCTGAGGAGCCCAGCAGCTTCAGCACGCCTCCTCCAATATGCAGGAAGTTTTTCTTTGTCTTTAGAGAGAATTCCTACTCACTCAAGGTGACCGGGGACTTGGGCATGGCTGTTGACAAGCTTCCAGAGTGGAAGACGAGAAAAGGTCCTGGGGCTGGAAGATGAGAAAAAGTCAGAACACTCACTCAGGAGAATCAGCGTCTTCTTATCCCACTTCTGCTCTCTTGGGTTGGCAGAGGAGCCTCTCCTGCA